CATCAGCATCATGGGTGCTGGCCTTGTGGCGTCTGTCCATGTTCGGCAATGACCCGTCCGTCCTCAGTCTATTTGCAGCGGTTACCCTGATGCCATCTGTCTAGGTGGGGGTATGAGCTTATGTGATAATGTGAGGCAGAGAGACCCTTGTGTCGTCAGTCAATGTGCAGTGTAACGGATATGTTATGTGTAACAAGGATTCTCATAATATCATATGTTAGTCAATGGTCTGTAGGCTGTCAGTGCAATTTATTATCCCTGGCATCAGCTGCTTTTTGTTCAGCTGCAGTACTACTTGGTACTGAATGCCCTATACACTCCGGCCAGCCTTAGCCTTTGCAATTTGTACACTGATAGCATAAAAAGGACATTTGCCAACTGATGGGATTTGTTTGAAATCACTGCTCAAATCAATCAGGCAGGTCTCATCAAATGTATTAGCAGCACTGAAGACTTCATACATTCAACCACTACATTGCAAAAAAAAACTACATGGCTATTTTTTTTATATACTAGTTTGCCCAAACTTGCCCAAACCAAGAGGGGTTTGAATACTAATAGCCGTGGCAAACTAGTAAATCAAGTATTTTTTTGCCACGGCTATTAGTATTCAAACCCCTCTTGGTCAGGGATTAGCTGTAGCTTTCAGCTCTTGATCAGTGACACAGTACAGGACAAATGTGATCCAATCATCTCAATCATGAATCCTTTCCATAAAGATAACTCTGAGCTGAATCGAGTAGGTCTCTTTAACCTGCAACCACAACAATTGAAAATCAACCGACAACCATGATAAGAACTCGCGGTTGTTGTGGCAGTATTTAACTCGTGATCCTATGAGGACGGATCCTACTGAGAGCACAAGCTGATGGAGCCACGGATGGTGTGGGGGTTTTTCAGCCACTCGTCCCACTGCCCAGAACCCAGGGGTCCTTGGGGGAAGGTGTGGATTGTTTTAACCCCACTCTGAGCCGATGCTGGCGACTAGGGTCTAACCGATGACGCACCTTGAGTATAATGCTCCTTCCACTTAACACAGCAGATTGTGATGGGCGCACAGATATAACGGTTCGAGCTGCAGATGGAAAATGCAGCACAGAAGAGAAGTGAGGGTATGCTCGACTTGTAAAACAGGAACGGGGCGAGCAGAGGCGTATGACATGACCAAGCGAAACCAGCGCGTCAACAGGGAATGACGCCTCGCATTAGAAGCCACGTCAGCACGAAGCTGATTAGTGTCTGGATCACAGCAGCGAAGCTCTCTCACAGGGTAAACCCGTCCGAGCCATGATAGAAATCTGCGTCCAGAAAGAGTTTGCTTGAACAGCAAAACAAAGTCATCAGCACTCGAACAGCTAGGGGTTTACCTTTAAGCTTGGCACCAGCGCAGAATCGAACTCGGAGGAACTCGCCCAAAAACTCGCTCAGCAGGGTAAAGTTGGTCGGGCACCCTGTGGACAAAACGGTAGTCGGTCACACACAAGGTACAGCTACCCCACGGAGGCGAGTGTAGAGGTGCGATGCCGCCATGCACGAGTCGTTAACGACTTCCCAGCACATCTGATCACAAACCGCCGGAAGGGAGGGCAAGCGGGACAGAAACAGTTCGGTCGAATCATGGAGATGTGCCAGCAGGAGACGTACGGAATGGAACGATCCCCGTTAGAGATGTACCAGAAGGAGACTAATCGAACGGTTGCAGCAACGGCAAGGGTTCATCAAGCCCCCCACTGGGTAGGTATACTCGGCACTTGGGACAATCTCACTCCACGAGACACGGAGAGGTTGTACGGAGAATTTCGCCGAGATGGTGAGATGCGAGGGAAAAGAGGATGGTGGAGTAGGTGAAAAAGAGCGGAAGAGGAGATGTGGTAGGCATGCAAGCGAGAAGCATAAACTAATAGCAAGCAGTAAGGAGTCACGTCACGGTAGATGGGGGTCAGAAAGAACGCAGCAATTTTATCTGGTCATTGCGGGGCATGGCGAGCCATCCACACTCCGATTTGCAAAACTCAATACTATTCGTCACTTCCCCATAAAAATACCGATACATATGCCGTACACAGTGAGCACGATGTTGAATGGAGACCCTCGAAGTCCATCGCACGTGGCGAGTCCAGAGAGAGACTATACCTCAGCCGTGCGCGAATTGTCACGAAAGGAGACAGGCGGCCGAAACAAGCTTCTTCGCGAAGTGTCAGCTTAGGATGGGCGAGGTAGGATGAGTCAAAACTGTTGTCGCCGTTCACCAGACCGACGCAGTCCTGTCAGATCCATCTGTAAAACAACGAAGAAACAGAGAAAACATCAGGTATGTTTAGAAAGGAAATGTTGCGAAGCGATTGAGGCTTTGGCGCACGGAAGTGGCTCTCCTCGTCTTCGACCGTGAGGGAGACAGAGGAGGTGCCACGCGCCCGCCTCACCCAGCCGTGCGGCTGCTCTACTTGGTGCGAGTCAGGCAGACCAGGGTTAGAGATACCTGACGACTGCCTTAAATAGAAAACAGTCACCAAGAGTTCTGGAGGATAGCCGAACATGACAATACAAAATATAATAAAAAAAAAAAACAGGTCGGATGAGGGGGATGGACGGAGAGTCAGCAGAGGACAACAGAGCTACACAGCCGTCACCGCCACCCAGTTGTCACTGGGGTCTCTGTTGCAAGTCTCTGGAATCATCATCCTCAACCGCGCTTAAAAGTACTTAGCTCAACATAAAAAAACACGGTGCGGCAAAAAGTTGCGGAAAATAAACACACCAGCTAAACACGCGCATTGGAGACGATGATGGAAGGAGAGTCAGTAAGAAGGCAACAGAATTACAATCGTCAATGCCACCCAATTGGGTGGCTCGGTTGCGCATCTCTGTATTCGTCATTCCCTCGCGTACTATCAAGAAACAAAAAGGCGCAGGAAAAAGAGCTACGGGGAAAAGGGATACGGCCGGCTCTCTTCAGTTCAGGTCTCCAATATGCTTCTTCAGTGCCCGGTTTCGGACAATCTCAGAAGAACGAAAGTATTGTTTGATCATCCGCAGAGAGACGGGACCTGGGATACAAAAGGATGAGATCGTAAGGCCAGACGCGGAAGGCCAGACACGGAAGGGCAGACACGTAAGGCCAGACACGGCCAGACACGGAAGGCCTGACACTCATGAAATAACCACATCAGCGTCGCACAGCCATCAGGCGTCAATTCTTCTCATTCGCAGCTTGAGCCACGTCAGAAGGTGTCCTAAGGCTTTGACATATGAGATAATTTCATCATAAGGCTGCTGCCGACCGACGGCGTCAAAATAACGAAAGCATACGGCAGATCAGCGAACATGACGAAGACACGCCCAAAACAATGGTTTTAAAAAGACATGTCAGGCTGGTGGTTGGGGTCAGTACGAGATCGCCATCTTATTTTCCGTTTCACTGCAACGATCGCTGCATCTCAAATCAAGTGTTGGATTTTGATGGCTCCTCACTCCCCAACTTAAACAGCCGGAACTATGAGACCAATGAAATTAAACAGAAAGATACAACGTGACTGATAACGCAAGCACGTGGAGCTGACATGCGGACAACCGCAGATAAGAGAAGGTTTCTTTTAAGAAGTCACAGGCCCAACTATCAGAATGGTGGTTGGGGTCAGTACGATAACGCGGAAATATTTGACGTTTCACTGCAGCGTCGCTGCACCTCAATCTAAATGCTCCTCACTCCCCAACTCAGACAGCCGGTCAGATTAGTCCAATAATAATAATCACGAATGAAGAGACAACGTGAAGCTGACAAGCGAACAAGAGAAACACCAGACGGGAGAAGACAGAAGCTTTGCTTCAATGAGCTCGATCGGGACTCCCGCCCTGAGTTTTAAAAAATGTAGCTTACCGGTGCGACGTGGCGACACATGAGTTTGAAAATATGTAGCTTACCGGTGCGACGTGGCGACACATGCCCTGCAGTGCGATTGTGTAAGGATGGAATACTGCTGTCAGGAGCTTCCGCTCGCGCTGCTTCTCACTGCGGCTGCTGTGGCAAAAGGCTCTTGCTCTCAGTGCTAAAACTGAACTAAATGGGCATGGTAGGGAGAGCGAGAGCGGGAGGTTGATGATGATCTGCAGGAAGTGGTGGTAAGCACACCTTCGCGCCATGAATTTCTCGAATAATACCAATATCCGAACACTGTTTTATGAGTTGCATAGCTACCTTATGAACGGTATTTGGTTTCACAATTTGGAAATTTCATTTCAGAAGTGATTTTCAAATACCTTTTGAAGATGACCATTGTTTTCAACGTGTTTAAAAAATGCTGTAAATATTCGACAAAGGTCACCCTTTAATAATATATCCTTAATTGTGAAACCATGTTGAATCCATGGATTTACATGTGAGACTTAAACTAAGTAGCTACGAATGGGAGTAACGTGAATAGTGTCAGTAAAAAGAAGTTTTCATTAAGATAAATATACAGTATAAGATATAGAGTAGGGAAAGTTGCAAATGTGGGTACACCACCAACAAATAGAAAGCATAAGGTGATACTACACTAACAATTATGCATGTAGTTATATATAACAATGCAATTTTAACAACCCTCCCTTAACTGCATGCAGGACTAGCTAGTGAGGGGCAGTCACCTATAGGGGGGCAATCAAAGAGCAGCAGCCGGGACCACCGTGGTTAACCCCCACCACAGGTGCCCGCCTCCGATTTAACCCCCGCAGGGGGTGCCAGGAGTGCATCTAGGGGAATGAACGCGCCCAGAAACGTCGGATTGAAATGAATGGTCGAAACGAAACGAGAAACAGAGGAGGAAGAGTGAGAAGGTAGAGGAGGAGGAGCGGCTGCCTTCACATACCCACCACCCTCATACCGTCTCCCCCCTCCTCCCCAAAACGCGGCACCCCCAGCAGTTGCTGTTGCAGCGATGAGGAGGAGAATAAGGGAGGGGCGGGGGAGTTCAAGGGGGCTTCAATACCCCGCATCCTCGGCTGCCAATCCTGTCAAGATA